GGGGGGTGTTCCTAAATCCTCTGATACGGGCCATGACTGCAGTCGCTCACTGCGCTTAAAATTTCCCCATGTCAGCAGACCATGTTAGGGCACGGTCATGTCATGCTGTTCGTACTAACTGACAATCTAAACACTGGCACACGTCAGCAAAACAGCAAGCAACTAAAAGCGGAGGCCATTTAATACAGCGAGAGTATGATCAGCACATTGTGAAACCTGAGACCTAAGCTGATTCAAGTAAACGGAAGATACAACTGTGCCGCATTTTATACATGCACCGTATACATTACAGTAAGTGTCCCCGAGTGCATACACACACACTCCTCCTGCATGATTTAGATTACAGCATCTAGGTCTCGTCTTATATCAGTATACTAAGTCCAAATTGCAATTGTCCCTGGATCATTCAGTCTAATAAAAACACACCCAGGGCAAAGGACACATCATGAACAGCATGTAAAAAAAGGTGAGTGCCAACACGTCAGAGTACACTGTCCTTCCAGATTACATCATATATTACATGGAAACCATGAAAATGCAAAGTCTTCCATGAGAGAGTCCTTCTGCACTTCAGAGTCAGCAAGCAACAGCGTTTCATTCATTCCTGTTTTATGACCAGTAGGCTGCCCTGCAGAACGCCTTAAAAGGAAAAAGTATAAATCCACTGCAGGGGATGCAAGGATCCATAACGCAGGCCACTCTGCAGGGTATGAGGAAAGATGCAGCGATGTCTTACCAGCAATCTGCTCTTCTGTAAGCTGATCAGCCTGTAAAATACATGAGGCAAAAATATCAAGAATTAGCTTTTCAATCTCAGAACAACCTTGTCTCAAAGTTATGGCCGCCCAATTATTTAAATATGTTGCAAACATCTTTCTACGTTGGTAATCATTCTGGAGTTTGTAATAGCCGTCAGCAAATTAAATACAAAAATTAACATAATAGAAAAGAGGCATTTTCGTGTCGGTGAGCAAAAACACTCGTTACCCAATTTGGGCGATCGCAAAAATAGCGAAAGAAAATTGTAAGACGTGCCCATCACACGTTAGATCTACTTACATATGACTGCTCGATGACAGCGCCAATGGACGACTTACAATTTGGCGGTAATGTTAGCTAGGACGCGCTAAAGTTAGCTAGCTACCCTTATATACCGGCTCACAGTTACAGACCATAAACCAACACTTAAAGCAAAATGACTAATTCAGCAGTCGTCACAAGTAAAGCATCGGTTGTAGCAAATAGTCATTTCAACGGCAGCTACAGTGTTTATCATTAAGAGGGATAAATATCGCGGACATATTTCCGGCCACAGTCACAATTTAGCGACGCCAAGATTAACGATAGAAAGAACGCAGATGGAGTGGCATAAAAGACACATTGTAAGGTACGTAACTAACGTTAGCTATGCTGCATTGTTTCAAGTTTGACTGCGTTAACGCTAGGAACTCAGGTTTGAACTTACTAACGTTATATATTTATTCAGACCAACGCATCTTTAGCTAACGTTAGCTTTGTCTAACACGCTAGCATTATCTAGCCACTAGCTGTCATTTATTCTGCCAGCACAGCGGTAATTAACGGGGACTCAGTTCAGCCACTGGTGATGTTACGTTGTATTGACATTCATTCTCGCACAATAAAACCAAAATACTATGAGACTGTCGGCCAATTCAAGACTGGAGAAAAAAATATATGCTTTTTTTCTTACCATTTCGATGTAGATGGAGCGGCTGATTCACGAGAAAATCCGTAACAAACCAAAGCCAACACAAAGCCTGCGCGGACTGACAATCTCTATGAACACAGTGAGGAAGAGGCAACTGGACTCGCCTTTAACGGCTATCCTAAACTCCTCCTCTTTCCAATATCACTCCGCCGACTTCCCTTTTCCTCAGTTATCAAACTAATCAAAAATGCCTTTAAATAAATTAATAGCTACACAAGAAAAACAAGAAACATCTGTAACACCCACTTGTGACTGCTGCGAATGTTTTGACGTCGATATTAGAATCTATATTGCGTATTGCTGGGGGTCTACAGAACGGAGTATGAATACTTTCTGCTACTCTGTGATGGGGCACAAGACGTAGCTGAAAGAAATCGCGCTCTCTGATTGGTGTGTTTGTACCTGCAATGCGTCACTCCCATGGTCTGCGCTGCCGCTGCATCTTGTCCATAGACATCCCAGTCAGTGCCACAGGCATCGCAGACAAGCTTGTTGCACAGTGTGTGTACATGTGGGCATCATCTTTAGGGACACCCAGTAAGCTAGTTTTGATAGGTTATTAGCTACAATGAGCTTATTTTGTTACTTGTAACCGCTATATTACTGACCCAGTTTGTGCTTACATGACTTTCTGCATTTCCTGTTGCTGCAGTTCTCTCATTTTTGATTACATTACTTGTGTTTTCCATGAGCACATTTATTTATTTTTCTTCAAATTGCTGTTACAAGGTTACCACAGACTGTTACAGAGTTCAGTGTGGCTCTTGGAATTTTCCTTCCGAGTCTTCGTCACTTTCAATGTGCATAATGAGATGCGGTGTCAGGGCCGAAGTGCTTGAGCGTAATAGTTTGTAATAAGGAGCAGTGTGTGCATGAGATGTGTGATATGTGATGGGTCTGCAGCGGGTGTTGCTTGTCAGGTGATTGTGGTACCCTTGGATCTAATTGTTCTGCTGCTGGTGTGGATGGTGACGATCTGATGGCCTGATTGCTTATGCCTGACCGATCTCCCAGTGACCAACTGTCTGGCCCGATCCCATGGGAGATGCCGTGGAGGAGGAGGAGGAGGAGGAGGGATGCGCTAGGACTTGAAGAAACACTCGAGAGAATGCACTAGAATCTCTGTGTACCGAACCCCACCCCCCACCCCCCACAAACCTTTTCCTCCCAAATTCCACTGCCTCCCTTATTATTAGTCGCAGATGTCACGCTGTGAAGTAGAGAGCCGGGATTGTGAGAAGCTCAACTTCTCACACATAAGATGTAAGAAATGAGGATCCAAAGTGGTTCCCACTTCCATCTGGGCTGTTTGCAGAGGTGACGCTGCCTGTGCCATGTGATCTGCTGAGCAGCTTTAGAATCAGCCAGCCCCCCCCCCAACCTGATCTGGAGCACATTGGATTCCTTTCATTTAAATCTGTTTTTCTGCTACAGGATTTTTGTCTCTGCGCCGTAGATTATGCAACGCCAAAGGTGGTGGCACAAAGGCCCGTCACAAGTAACCCGATAAGCTGGAGCATGTGTCAACGGCAGGCATTTTGAGGTGTGTTTGTTCGCCTTTTTGCCTTTCGGAAAATACTTGGCAAACACTGTAAAACTTAGTCACCATGAGCGCTTAACCGCGTTTCTTTCTGGTATTTGAAACGTTTTGGACTTTGTCACAGAGCCTCCAGGGCCAATTGCTCTAATAAAACGGTTGTTCAGGGACAACGGTTCACTGTTGGGCCATAAACACTTTTAAATCAGAGGACCCTTCTACTTCCATTTGCACAGTCTGCTGTTTGGTTGGTTGATGGCATGCCCTTCAGTGATCCCCAGGTCTTGGAGGACCTGCTCCAGGTCAAAGGTGATTTTAGGTTAGAGGTTAATATGGATAGGGAATATTGGAGCCCAGGAGACGTGACTTAATGGTCTGTAAAACCCTGAAACCAAACTCCATGACGTTAGACTCAACGTGGTGCACAGTGCCTTACAGTGTTTGTTTGTTTTTTTGCATTATGGATGTTGGGTGTCATGTTAACTAATTATTACTTTAGTTTTTTTACTCAGACTAAACCATGCATGTGTGTGCACATGTGCGCCACACTCATCTCATCTTTATCAGATCTGTGAATGTGTAACTGCCTAACATAATGAGTCCTTATTGGACAAACAGCCCAACCCCAGAGCACTCTTTATAAGAAGAAGGGGGGTCAAAGGTCACCATGGTTCAGCAGAGGCGATGAAGTCAACCCTCCGTCTTCATTAACGTCGCCTCCCAATGGCCTGTAACATCACTCCCCGCTGATAGCAGCGAGCATTGTTCCCTTTCTCGGTAAAAAAAACACCTGTCATGTGGGTCGGTCAGTTCAATGTTTGGCAGTTGGGGGGGGGGGGGGGGCACAACGGCACGTGAGTCAAAACAGTGTGTGACGGTACCGCACAATCCTGCAATAAAAATAAAGCTGCTTCCAAGCAAAAAGAAAATAAGCTTCGGGAGAAGAAGGCTAATTTGTGTTGCCTAAGTGGTGGCGGACCTTTAAAGGGACGGGGCACTTTAAAGGACCTTTAAAGGGACGGGGCACTGGTGACAAATATGAGAAGATGTTTACCCGTTGTAACTGAAAGACGTGGACGCCATCATTAATGAATGAGGCTTTTGTAATGCACCTGCTGGTCCCCTGCCAACAGAGTGGATCGCCTTTCAAGGGAGAGGACGGCGGCTTGTTTGTGCGCCGTGGACGTTGAGGCCAGGTGTGAGTGAAAAGGAGGCCTGATTGCTTTTGTGTGTTTTTGTGTGTGTGAGAGATTAGCCTCATGTGCCTCTGTGCTAATGCGTCCGCATACTCTGCACTGACGGTAAACACGACATGGGGGTAAGGGGTGTGTGTTCGTGCGCATATATATGTTTTATGACTTAAGGGCTGCATCTTACTTCCCGATTAGCGCCTCCCAGCATGCACCGGCCAAAGGTCTGCACAAAAGTTGACGTCCTACTGCATAGGCCTCATATAGAGGGCCAGCGACAGGCTAGCCTCGCGGGAGCCAATCCCATTCTGGCCTACCTGTGACTGAGAAAATGACATGTTTTGCCAAAATTACATCATGAGGCAGAAATGATTAATGGCCTCAAATCGGATAAGAGGATTTGGTCGGGCCCCGCTATTCCCAGCCTGTTTCAATCATGCAGTGATGAAATGGATATAGTGTTAAGCATGCACTTTAGTTTGCCGCCCCTCCCGACGGGTTTCATGCCCGCCGTCCGCTGGCACCCGGATCACCAAGCATCTCCAAAAACATGCACGCCAGTTGTTTTATTTGAGGGGATCTGAGGGACAAAACCGCTTACTGGCTGTCAAATAGAATGCCTGCTGTTGATGTTCTCTCTATCTCTCTCTCCCTCTCTTTCTGACTCCATCTAACTCTCTCCCTTCCTGTCCCTCACTGGCTCGCCTCCAGGTTGTCTGCTGCAGTCAGCGTGGAGCTGGAGTTCAAACGCCTGCAGCCTTCAGCAGCACATGAAACGTGCTACTTGGAACCTTCCAGACAGTGTGTCCCTACAAAGGCAAGGTGACTTTATCCTGCCTTTGTCTAGAACAGGTGTAGGAAGCTCTGTGCTTGCTAAATGATTTTTGTTTTATTCTCTCCAGTAGTTTCCCTCCACAAGTCCCGCACGCAGTGTTTGCAGCGTGCTCTCAGTTTACACACACTCCCAGGTCAAACCCTGTGGAAAGTGAAACCGGTGGAATGGAGAAGCGTCGCAGAGGGCATTGCAGGGCCACTTCAGTGCTTTAGTGCGTAACCGCAATAAGGAAGTGACAGGGTGTGCTTTAGCAGAGCACCGTCCTTGACCCCCCAGGCTGTAGCGTAGGCCAGGTCTGTCTCTGCAGTGGCGGGGACCTGCAGGAGTTGCCTCTCTCCACCCCCCCCCTCAGATGATCTCATTCTGCAGGGGGGGCAGCAGGCTCCACCGCACGCCGCGTCCGCTTCCAGACGAAGGCTGCAGAGCAGGTGCCTGGTCGCCTGTGCACGTGGAACTGTGTGTGTGTGTGATCGGGGCTGTGAGTGCTGTGTTTCTGCTTAAACTCTGCTCATAAACAAATGTGATGGATCTGGCTCTTTGTGCGGGGGACTCAGCGGTGACACCTGGTGGCCGGAGAAGAAACTGCAGGGAGCTTTCAGAACAGTAGAACTGGAATGGTGTGCTAAAAGGAATGCTAATCACCTTGGATGCCCTGGTGGACAATGACTAAGTACATTTAGTCATTTAAAGTACTTTTACTTTAGTACAATTTTAGATAGTCGTACTTTACTCGAGTAGTTCCACTGGACTTTATACTTCTACCCCACTGCAATTATCTGCACAGCCACAGTTACTTTATAGGTGCAAAACGATACAAAACATTTGATCAACACATACAATACTGTGCATCTTTATAGATTAAACTATGCAATAGCATATCAAGTAGTAGAATTAGGTCCACCTCTACAAGCTGCACTATTAAAATGTGGCGTACCTGTTATTGCATCAATAGTAATCAGTGATATATGTTTAACAATGATAATACTTCTGAACTTTTACTGTGAGTAAAAGATTATAGTTGAGTATTTTTACAGACATTCACATGGGGTGATACATCTTTTACTCAAGTAAACAATCTGAATACTTCTTTTCCCGTACGTTGACTTTACCCGACTGTCAATGGAAAACAAGATCACAATAAAGTTTTTACACTTTTCCACACTGCCAAGAATATCATTTGAAAATGCTACGATCACTTTAAAAAAACCCCCCCCCCCCCCCCCCCACACACACACACACACACACACACACACACACTAGTAAACAGACACATTGCTAACATCAAAGATGCTAATGTTCTTGAAATAATATCACCACAGCAAAGCGTTGCTAAAGTGCCATGTTTAATGATTATTGTTGATGATTTTGAGGGAAACATATATGGATGCATGACTGCGCATTTTGGACTAGAACCACAACAAACTCCATGGCAGGAGCCCGACGCCACATATTCTGGCAGGTGCTAATGTTGCTATCAAGGAAGCTGTTGGCCTGGCATCAGCTGGAAACTGAAGACCAGTGCAGTGGT